CCATGGTCAGTGGTCATCACCTGGCAGACTCCCACAACCAGATCTCCGTGATCAGTGGTCATCACCTGGCAGACTCCCACAACCAGATCTCCGTGATCAGTGGTCATCACCTGGCAGACTCCCACAACCAGATCTCTACCTGGTCACTCATGATCATACCAATTGGCATGATCATACCATGTCTCAATCTCTCATCTCATAACCAAGTTTCTTGTGACTTCTCCTTGGGCCACGATTCTTCTCTTTCTGTTCACCTACTTTGGTTTTCTACCATTGATGCAGCTAAGAAAACAGTTTCTCATAATCAAGTGTTCCTTTATTTTCCTCCCTGCGATTTTCATGCTGACTCTTGGGAATTCTGCATGAATGCTGTGTTACAACTTGAAAATGAACCTCTCCCCGACTGATATACATTGGAGCAAGTCACTCACCTCACCTGGATTTTCCATTTTAACTGCATCTGTATCCAAGAACTTAGATGTTGCCCCTGACAACAGGATTACCTCACCACAATGTAACCTTAGTTACCTGGACATGTAGGTATTTTCTTTATGATACCCAAAGAATTTGCTTATTCATCTCAGCCCAGCATTGTGCCTGGGCCCTGTAGTCACCATTCCTCCATGCCAATGCGAATTAAATCTATCCAGGGTTCATGCATGTGCTCTTAGACAGCATTGCAACTAGGAATATGCCTGTTTCACCTCATAGGAACACATACATTACTTCTCACCTTGTCTCCATTGGCTTTTTTGCAAGCAGAATCACGTTGAAGGGCTTAGGTCAAAGTCCGAGCAGCTATATGCCAGGACCACATCTCCTCTCTGTGTGGTCCTTCTCTTGGACGTCATCAGCCCTTACCTTCCAATAAGATCACTAACAATGCCTGGATCTTTATTAGTCCCTAACATGCAGAATTGTCCCACATCTGCCAGGGTGTCTTTCATTACTATCCACTAATGGCACAATGTATTTTTGTTGTATTTGCATGTAGATCAGCCTTCGTTTAAAAAACACTTATTAAACATTCCTTTTTGCAACATTTCCTCTCTATTCCATAAAAGTGCTGTTTAACCTGATGCAAATAATAACAGATACGCTATATGTAATAATGCAAATGTTGCATAGTGATTTTTCTGTCCCCTGCACTGCCTACAATAGGCTCCAAGCCCCTCGGGACCCTGAGCAGGATTAGCAGTTACAAGACGAATAGATAGAGTTTCTTATTTTTTAAGGTTTTATTTTTTCCCCCCACACCATCATTCAATCGAATTATATCAGAATATGTCAGAATCAAAACTATTTAAGAATTTAAAATCTGTATCAGGTGTGTTGAACGTGCACTTTCGGACTGCAGCGTGTAATATCACACAGCAACCACTGAGGGATGATCTAAGCCTAGGATGCGCAACAGAACAAACCTTACACTACGGTGTTGTGCGTTTCCAAAACACATGCACAATAGCAAACAAGGAGAGCGGAACGGCGCATGTATGTTACTCCGACTTTGTAAATAGCTGATTATCACGAACCGTTGTTATGATAAGAGACCATTTGCTTAGTGCAAGAACGGTTGCAGCGGAAGATTCTGCAGCTTTTGCGAGGTGAAGAACAAGTGATGAATAATGCTGTTGAATTGCGCTTAAAACAGCTGCATCAACATGAAGACGAATTTAATAGCTGCTTGATCTGTTTCTAGATTTATGTTTATTTATTAGAAGACCCCTTTTGCCATTTTAAATACCAAGAGCAGCGCAATGCATAAGGCGATATTTTCGTTTTAGCCAAGGCGTCACTTTCCAACACAATCCTCTATCTAGACGCTTCAAAAAGTGCAGTGCTTCCAATTTGATAGACCGTAAATGTGAAGATTTTATTTTCATTTCTTTACCTCATTGTCATACGCGCATTTCTTAAGCAAAATGGAAATCACGCAAATGTGGAAATTACAACCTGGTTAATCAACAATATATACATTTTTAAATTAAAATAGAAGATATAAGAAGATGTTTGGCCGTTTGAAATGTAAGTAACATATATGAATGCATGAAGCAGGTTTGTGGGTGAAAAGAAAAATGTATGCATGAACCAGAGACTGCATTTCTGTGTGGGGGAAACTGCATACGGATCTTTATGAAGATGTAATCACGGAGAATCTCCTGTTGCCTGAATTGGCCTATATTAGCTTATTATCTAAATTGTGTTTCTCTCCAAGTTATTAGCTAGATACCAGCTCCAGGTGAGATTTCTTTCAACGAGCTTGTGAACGTGGAAAAGGAGACTGCTATTTTGGAAATATTTCGCAGAAGCTATTTGTCGCTTGTAATACTCCTGTGTTTTTCCTATCAGCTGCTGTACGCGTCAACGGAATATAGTTAATCAGAACATCTGATGGGAGAAAAAGACGGAGACGCCGTCTACTCGACCCATCTGCAAGAAAACAAAACATGAAAAAGAAGCAACAAATGGTTCGTAAAGATATTGATTTCTATTTGGAGTCTCCGACGTAAAGAGGGGAAGTGCGACGATTTTTGGAAAAGAAGCGAGTCATTTGGCATTAAATATTAATTCAGCTGTTTTGAAATGATGCTCTAAAATCTTAAACACACATGATTTGTGCCCTCTTATTATGAAATACTTCTAATGGTAAAACCTGGAAAGAGAACTACCTATAGAATGCATTGTTTGAAGATAAGAATCATTATTTTGTCGTCAACATCATTCGAATCTCTTGAGTCGGACTGAAAAAGAAAAAAACTTTGAAAATTTAAACACACAAGCAACTATAAAACAATGCCGGAGTGCCACGATTCCTGGACTGTTACAACATATCATTTTGATGTCAAAAGTACTTTCATTAACGGCTGCAGGCATAGAGTAATAGGTGCAAGCTTTTTTACAAGGTATCATTATGCTACCCGCAGTTTCGCCCAGTTGAATGCAGCGCTTCAGCATGTAAATTGACTTCAACCTTGTACCTATTTCGGTTGCCTCTGGGACTATATATTCTCCAACCGGAAATATATATATCATCTTTAAAATGGAGTTTGCAATGGTAGGTGCTGAAAGTGGCGGGTGCAACAGCCATCTGCCTTACGGATACGCACAGGCGCGCGCTAGGGAGCGCGAACGCGAACGGGAGAGGCAGGTCCAGTCGCGTGCCGCAGCGGCAGCCGCCGAGGCTGGATCGACTAGTGAAGGGCAATGTTGTACCAGCCATCACCCCAACAACCACCAGCTGCATCAGTCTCGCGCCGCCTCCTCGTGCCATGCCAACAACACCAGCGGTAGTACCGCCTCGCGCCCCTCCTCTTCGCAACCGGCTCAGCAGCAGCACGCGGAGCAACAGCAGACGGTCCTAAGAGGGAGGAAAAGGCATCGCGGTGCCGAGCACCGAAGAAGGAACCGTCCTACTCTAGGCGGGGACCTGCGTCACTCGGAGTTGGCGCTACTCGGATCCGAGGAGGAAATTATGATAGAGGAGGAGGAGGCTGGAGACGAGGGAGAAGAAGACGAGGACGGAGGCGGTGGTGGCGAGGAGACGAGTGGCAGGAGAAAAAGTTTTGTCTCTAATATGGATGATGAAGAAGAGACCTTTTCACTCACGGACAGACGCCCCCAGTCAGGCTACGAAAACGTTTACAGCGAACACGCCTGCTGCGAAAGAGTTGTCATTAATGTGTCCGGTCTTAAGTTCGAAACACAGCTTAAGACTCTAAGTCAGTTCCCGGACACACTGCTCGGGGACCCCGAAAAACGCATGCGGTACTTCGACCCCCTGAGGAACGAGTACTTTTTTGACAGGAATCGACCAAGCTTCGATGCAATTCTTTATTATTACCAGTCCGGGGGGAGATTAAAGAGACCCGCTAATGTGCCCTTTGACATATTTTCAGAGGAGGTCAAGTTCTATGAACTGGGAGAAGAAGCGATTCTCAAGTTTAGGGAAGATGAGGGCTTCGTAAAAGAAGAAGAAAAGCCTTTGCCTGAAGACGAGTTCAAGCGTCAAATTTGGCTTCTCTTCGAATACCCAGAAAGTTCAAGCCCTGCGAGAGGCATTGCTGTCGTGTCTGTTTTGGTTATTGTTATATCCATTGTCATCTTCTGTTTAGAAACTTTGCCCGAGTTCCGGGACGACAGAGAATCCTTCAGCGGGGGTAACAACTCATCACATCCCGGCAGTGATTTCACACCATTCAACGATCCCTTCTTCATCGTGGAGACCGCGTGTATCATCTGGTTTTCTTTTGAGATAATCGTCAGGTTCTTCGCGAGCCCAAGCAAACCCGCCTTCTTTAAAAACATTATGAACACTATAGACATTGTATCCATCTTGCCTTACTTCATTACCCTTGGCACAGATCTTGCCCAACAACAAGGCAACGGGCAGCCGGCGATGACCTTCGCGATTCTCAGAATAATTCGTCTGGTCAGGGTCTTTCGCATCTTTAAGCTTTCTAGACATTCAAAAGGTTTACAAATCCTCGGTCACACTTTAAAAGCTAGTATGAGGGAACTAGCGTTGTTGATCTTCTTCCTTGTCATCGGCGTTATTTTGTTTTCCAGCGCCGTGTACTTCGCCGAAGCCGATGAGCCGACGTCCCAGTTCACTAGCATCCCAGACGCCTTTTGGTGGGCAGTCGTCACCATGACCACTGTCGGATACGGGGACATGAAGCCAATAACAGTGGGTGGTAAAATAGTGGGCTCACTTTGCGCTATAGCGGGAGTATTAACCATCGCTTTGCCCGTCCCTGTTATCGTTTCCAACTTTAATTACTTTTATCACAGAGAGACTGACAATGACGACCAAACACCGGCGGTACAAAACACTCTCCCCTGTCCGTATTTCCCTGGAAACTTCTTCAAGAAATTCAGGAGTTCAGTGTCTGCTTCTTCTATTGGGGATAAAGCAGAGTACATGGAGATGGAAGAAGCGGTGACACAGTCCTTATGCACTTTGGACAAGCAAAGCCCGGAAAAAGGAAACGGTACAGATAATGTTCGAGGAAACAGCACGAATCCCAAATCGCTTCAAACCGATGTATGATTACAGGGCTGTAAAAAGACAGTTTGGCCTTTATTAGTCGCCTGTTACGATTTATGGTACAGCGTGCAGAGAGTACAAGTCTTATAGTGATGAACATTCATACATTGCATTTAGAAATCACACACAGCAATGTTGCATACATGGAATTGGTATTTCCGTTAGATGTTTATTTATTTGCGCTAAAAATATAACTATATTCCCGTCGCTTCGAACTTCCCTAGAGAAAGGATTTCAGTTAAAACATGCAACGGCAAGATCACCAGCTTTAAGTAACATATCTTTCTAAACCACCAAATTACTATAAAATAAAGCTACTCATAGACATAATTGATATTTCCTATGTAAACTTTATTTTTTGATGGCACTTTACACAGTTTTACTTCTTTGGAATTAGATTAATGGGAGAGGTTTTAGCACTGATGTATAATGCAAGACGAATATAATTAGGAAGTTAAATGCTTAGATCAGATGATCGTCAGCAAAAAGGCGAGTTTGTAACTAAATTATATTTACCCTTTTGATACGGCAATTTGTCCGTAATTTGGAGATTCATTAATAGATATTGTAACAATTGTGTACGTTGTGGTTTACAAAGTGACAAAGAATTTTTGAATCCCGATTTTAGTAATCCTACGCTTCAAGGTCTCCTAAATTGTAAATCTATTACTGTTAGGATGGTCATTAAAACTGCGACGATACCTGTCACTGTGATCTGTGCCACAGAAAATAATTCGCTCTCGATTCGAAATGTTCAATGCTGATCAACTTTTCATACACATTCCTGAACGACATGGGCGCAAGATAGGAATGAGGTAGTTTATTAGACGTCTAAGAAATTCTCTTTTTATACAGCTGCATCAAATTCACCGACAGCGGCTATAGCAAGAACAAAGATGCGCATTTCGGCACCTCCTTAAAGCATGAACTGGATTTTATATTTGTACATGAACTTTTCATGCTTTGAAGGCATGCACTGAATTTCTGCAGTGAGCAACGAATACATGCTTGGCATTGCATATGTATTACCTGGAGCAAAAACTGCAGGGACAAAGAAGAGCGAGAAGTTTGGACAACTCAAAAGAAAACTTGTGCTTGCCCCTTTAACACCGCAAGAGAATGTCAGCATTCCTCTTGATGAAATCTCACGGAAATCTAAAAATATGTATAATTGAGTCTATGAGTATGGACGATTTTTTTTTCTTCTTTTGATCAACTGACTTCCTGTACAAACCCTCAGTGAAAGAACTTTTGGTCTTCCAGGACAGCAGATGCAGGATACAGGAAATATAAAAAGGTACGTTTGTAAATGTTTGTGATTTAATCACATGCAAAACACAATTAAAGACACAATGAACACATATGCTTGTTAAAATGCTAAGTATATGCACATCAATTTCCTGGATTGCATCCAAAAAAGGACCACATTAGTTACTATGAGAACACAGTTGTTTTAGCCAAGCACGAGAGTTTGAATTCAACTGGGCCACTGAAAAGCAGCACTTGTAGTTTATTTGAATTAAATGTGTATGATATTGTGCTGGGCATGATTTACTAATGGATAATGAATAAGATCTGGGTGATGAACAATTATAAGGATAATGGCCTGCCTGAATATTCAGGTGACTTGGGGGGGGAGGGGGGGGCAGGGCATCTAGTCATATGAGTAATGAGGTTTCAAAGCCCAGGATGGGTATTGTGGGGTGACAGTTACAAACTGGTTAAGTGTACTATCAGCAGTTTACCGTATAGGAACAGGGTAAAATGGCACAGTGACTGACAGGATATAGTAATCCCACCATTTTTTTTCATGGCCTCATTACCTTCATCAGTGTAACATATCAGCACCCGTGCATTTTAATGATACCAGTGAATGCGTTTATGGCTATTTTAAAGATCATAATAAATCATCATTACCAGGCACAGTACTAGCTGGTGTCAATTAGGATCTTGAAAATAAAACAACAGTGCATTGCATTGTGTTGCAATAATGTAGCTAAAAAAAAGTCATGTTTAACATCTAAATCTATCAAAATATATGTTGTTATTTAAGTATATTATTTATTAAGTTATTCTGGAGTTGTTTTTAAAATGCGTCGGTTTCTGCGCGCAGTTTACATAGGCCCATGAGTCGTTGATTTTCCAGTGAAACTGCACTTTTAGGTACAGGCAGTATATTCATCCATAGTAATACTAAGAAAATAGGTGAACCACTGCATGTAGGCCTATTAAAAAAAACAAAAAAAAACATTGTTTACCTTGGTCTGTTACCCATACTCATACTGTATATAGGAAACTACTTATAATGGCTAAAAGTGATTGTGGGAATTAGATTAATGATTTTTTTTTGCCTATATATGTTTTCACTGCAATTCACTGAGCATGAACATGAGACATACAGTATCTAACCTGTGAATTATTCTGGCAAGCATGTTTTATAAGTGGTACTTAAAGGAACATCTCTCTTAAGACTTTATTCCCTTTTTAAAGTACACAATAAATTAATTAAAAAAATTCTAAAAACAAATCTGAATATATCCATCGTTGAGGACCCATGGCAGCAAACCTGGGTATAAAATTTCGCTCCAGGTTTTGTGTGTACAGAGTTTGCCCAGTGATTGTATGCATTTCCTTTGGGTGCCTCAAAGACATTCTGTTCAAGTGACCTTGTGACTGTACATGACCATCTGCATGTGAGTGAAGCTGTAGGCCCTGCGACGGCCTGTACTCCAGATCTCTGTGACTCTGTGACTCTGCTTGGCAAGACTATTTCTGAAAAACGATACAATGCAAGGGATTTATACATATGTAACATATCAGCACCTGTCATAGGCTATATATTGAGTGGCCTCTTTATTATGCATCCATACCACAATGTAGCAGAGCCCCATTTCGCCCCCCAGAACTACTCCAGGGGATGATGATTTGTGTGTTTAGCAATGTCTGTGACAACGCCACTGTTGTTCTTGTACTTGCATTTGTGGCCTTCCTCTTAGCTTTAATGAGTCTGGCTAATCTCCTCTGACCTCTCTCATTAACACGGTGTTTTTGGCAACAGACCTGCCACTGACTGGATGTTTTTTTTTTTTTTTTTTTCCTGCCGCAACATTCCCTGTAAGCTTCAGACACTGTAGTTCATGTAAATTCGGGAGGGTGGCGGTTTCTGGGGTGCAGAGACCACCACAACTGGCAATCATACCGCCCTAGCTGTTCTAATGCTTAGACGAATGGTAACTGGACTTCCCGATGCTGCTTCCTCTGTGCTGTGTATAGTCAGGAACTGCTGTATGGGTCTCTGTTTGTAGGAGTAGACAGTTTATGTTAACAAGCAGACGCACCTAATAAACTGGCCATTTAAATTAATCATTATATTGGTTTACGGTAATATTGCGCACTCTTTAATATCATTATAATTCAAAAGATATATAAATATATGCAAAAAAATAATTATTAATCTAATTCCCACAATTGCTTTTAGCCATTATAAGTAGTTTTCTATATACAGTATGAGTATGGGTAACAGTGTGGTGACCGTGTGCAGGGCGAACGAACAGAAAGCGGGGAAGCAGTATCAGGCACACAGAGATCCAAAAACAAGGGGGTTTAATGCGGGCCGAACAACATGGTGAAAACGTCTATGACAGACCTGGGGAAACAGACTTGAACCCAGACTGAAATACCCAAGACAAGCCGAAATAACAGGAAACAGCTGATCACAATCGGGGTTTCACATGAGGTAAATGAGGGGGCGTGGCACACGGGAGGATTGTACGAGTAGGTCATGACAAACAGCATGTAGTTCTACAGAGATACTACTTCTAACTCTAAGTCATGTTAATCCATCCATCCATCCATGCAAATCCATCCATTTTCTGTAGCCGCTTGTCCTATGCAGGGTCATGGAGGTCCGGACCATATCCCAGAAAATATGGGAGCAAAGCAGGGAATGGGGCGCCAAATATATTATTTTAATTTTAAGAATTTAAGAAATGAAAAAAAAACCCTACCAGTTGTTAATATAACTACAGTTTTCTAACTGTCCGTATTTGTTTAAGCCAAAGGAAAGCTTTCTTCTGTTATATAAGGTGTATGAATCGTTCAAAAGCCAAATAACAGGTAGTGTGTCCTGACTCACTATCTACTATGCTCAGCTCTACCTTTTGTGCAACACTGGAATTTCTGCAAATCTCCATAAACGAACAAGGCAGGTCGTTGAACCAGTTAATGTTTCCATGCCCTAGCTATACCTTAAAGGATCCTTAGGTCAATGGAAGTCTACTGTACACTTGCATCATACAAACGTTCCACATGAAACTTTCAGTGCTCAAATGCAGCGTATGAGGAAACAGGAGCAAACACTTGGGGAAACTTTCAAAGCTGTCAAGATGTTTAACGACGTGCCAAAGCCCTGAGCATCAAGTATGATAGTCAATATTATGATTCTCAAACGACTGCTTGACATTGTGTCGATATATTGATCTTGACTGTGTAAACGACTCGCCCGTAAACACGCACATCCACCCGGTACAAAGGAAATTACATCTTACCGTGTCTCCGGTGTTCTTACTGCAAGCAGATTATACGAGGTCCTGTGGTCCGACTCTGCCCCCGCTCTCACTTTGAATCCACCACTGCTTTTATGTGGCATGACTAATAGCCGTCCTCCAGCACCCCGTTGTATCCATATGTATTTGGTTCAAACTCTAGCTTGCAAAGAACAAACTCCCATGCCCCCCTTTAAAATAAGCCATTTCAAAGGTCCCCAAAGAATAATATTCAATCAATGTTAATCTTTGCTTATGTTCATTTTAATTTTTTTATTTTAATGTACTTATTTATTCTTGAGAGTGGATGTGTTCTCCTTCACCTTGCCATGAACCCGTCGCCCTCCTGTATTTCAAAAATGAGAAATACAACATATAACAGCATAAAGAAACATATGGTTCTCTTTGGAAACAGTCCAAATTCAGCGAGGGAGAAAATCCAGCCACGTTCCATTTGTAACTGAATATGTGGATGAAGAGGATGGACTCTACAGTCCTGAAATTGTGATTAAAGGTGTGGATTTTGCTTAGTAAATCTAACTTCATCTTTAACTTGGGATTTACACAAGGGCAGCAACAGGACAGTGCTGGTCTGCCCATCAGGCGACATAGGCAGCTACCTAGGACATCATCTTCTGGGGGGGGGTGGGGGGGGGGTGCAGACTTAGCAAGCTGATTTCCTTTGTCTTACACAGGGTGCCACCTAGACTTTAACCGGTACTGCAACATGGAGTGACTGTAGATGAAACACCACCAAATAAACTACTTAGCACTCCTAACGACACTCATTAGAATTAAACGCCGAGTTTGCCTTCACGCCCCATTCATGGTAATACTCAAGCACTTATACATGCAATGATCCATCCATTAGCACCCATAATCATCCATCCATCTTCCCACACATGGCCAGAACAGAGTCAGGGGGAGCCCTGGAGCTTATCACAGGCAGAATAAGGTACAAAACTGGGCTAAATGGGATACCAGGCCATTGCACATACTGTACAGAAACTTTAATGGCATCCCATTCTAAATCCATAGGCATCAGTTTGGTCCCCCGTTTTCAGCCATAACAGCTGCCTCTCTCCTGGGAAGGCGTTCCACAACATTTTGGAGTGGGTTTGTGGGAATTAATGCCCATTCATTCCAATGAGCATTTGTGAGGTCAGGCATTGATGTTGGATGTGAAGACCTGGCTTGCAATCTCCATTCTAATTCATCTCAAACGTGTCCGATGGGGTTGATGTCAGGTTTTCTGTGTGGGCCAGTCAAGGTCTTCCACACCAAACTCACCCAACTATGTCTTTTTGGACATTGCTTTGTACACTGCCCAGGCACAATCATGCTGGAACAGAAAAGAGCCTCCCCACAAACTGTTCCTATAAAGTTGGAAGCATAGAATTGTCCAAAATGTCTTGGTATGCTGAAGCATTAAGAGTTCCCTTCACTGGAAGTGTAGCCCAACCCCTGAAAAACAAGCCCATACCATTATCCCATCTCCACCAAACTTTACAGCTGGCACGATGCAGTCAGGCAGGTAACGTTCTCCTAGGATCCACCAAACCCAGACTCATCCATCAGACTGCCAGACAGATATGTGTAATTCGTAACTCCACATAACACATTTCCACTACTCCAGAGTATGGTGGCTGTGTGCTTTACACCACTCCATCCGACGCTTGGCATTGCACTTGGTGATGTGAGGCTTGCGTGCAGTTGCCCAGCCATGGAAGCCCATTCCATGAAGCTCCCAGTG